CGGACGGGCACATGCAGACACGGACGCATGAGAGAGAGAGAGAGAGAGAGAGAGAGAGAGAGAGGCTGGCTTAGTCAGGGAGATATTGGCAAGAGGGAGAGGAAGACATGGATGGTGGTGCTTTGGTTGTGTAGGCCAATGGTGTGGCCACATATTAGAGTCACGAAAACAGGAGTGGTGAAAAGATCTGTGGTGAGGGTCATGCGAGGAATGATGATGGATGAAGAGGTTATCGCAGACTGAAATGCTAATGGTGGGTGGCAGGGAATCTCATCTCAGTTGCAACAGCTTTACCACAATGGGTAGAATCGATTTGCTGCTCTTGAGAAGGTGCAAAAGGCGTAATCGAGGGTATAGATGGGTTGCATCTGGGTACCTCGATTGTAAAGTTGTACCGATGTAGATAATGGAGGACTATGCACCCGATAGTGATCCTGTGTCACCTCGCTCTTCGTGTTCGTCGTCTTCATCGTCCTCCTCCTTGCCACTCACTTTCTCTTCTCCTTGGTCTCGGCCTCCTGTCTGGAAACATGATCCCTGCAATTTCAAAGAAGATCATGATGGAGAAGAGGAGGAACGGCTGCACAGCGTGTGTTCTCCTCTTGGGTTCCTTCTCGATGTGTTAGCGGGAAGGTTTGACTTTTGGCAATATTCTTTACAGTCGTGCATCCCGTTCCTCATTCCTGTAAGTAACACTTTCTGCATTGGTGAAGGATATGTTTCCCACTCTGTAACTGTGACGGGTGTTGATGTCGTCCTTGTCTGCTATACCTGTTGCTATCACTGTTGCTGCATGAGTGAGTGTCTGCTATACCTTTTCAAAGTCAATAATGTCTCATGCTGCATGAGTGAGTGGAAAAGTATCTTATCCCTATGCTGCATGAGTGAGTGGAAAAGTATCTTATCCCTTCTTGTACATGGTGCTGCTGCTAGTGCTGAAACAGTAATGCCTTGTTGAGTGGAAAAGTATCTTATCCCTTCTTCTACATGGTGCTGCTGCTGGTGCTGAAACAGTAATGCCTTGTTGAGGTGATGATGGTGGTGGTGGTTGTGATGAATATGGGAATGTTTTTTCTCTTCCATCTCAGATTCTTGAGTGCAGAGGACAGCTTACTGCAGCCATTAGTCTGCTATGCATAGTCTTTGATAGTCATTTCTAATGTGTAGTTAAAGATTCGGTAGGACTTGGTAATTGTGGAGGTGATGTTGGTTGTGGTGTTTGTGATGAATATGGGAATGTTTTTTCTGTCTTCCCTCTCAGATTTCCAAGCTTAGATGACATCGAGTCTGCTATGCATAGTCTTTGATAGTCTTTTCTGGTGTGTAGTTGAAGATTCGGTAGGACTTGGTAACTAAGAAAGTAGATATAATCAGTGCCATCCTTCGGCCCCCCATTGTAATCCTTTCTGACTTGCCGGTGGAATAGGAACCGGACTGATGCTCCCCAGAATGGAAAAGGAGTCGGAACCATAAGGTTCTGTTTAAAAAAAAAATCATAAAAAAAAAAGTAGATATAAGGATTGGCACTGGGCGTTGTAAGAATTCTAGAAAGATTGCTAGGTGTCTTGTAGATAATGCAGGGTTCAGGATAAATGTGATGTGACCAGATGGGGTAAGATGCACAGCTCGACAAAGGTGGCGGAGTTGTAGTTGTATAAGGATCGTGTCACAGAATAGAGGAAGTTCACTTAGTACACCTTCAATGTATGGCAATAGGTGGACATCAGTAAAGACTTTCATTGGGCGATAGGCAAGGGGAGCTGAGTCGAGAAGCAACATATATATAATTATTGAATTCTGCAAGGGATGTGAGGGGATGGATGGTCATCATGGGACTAATTTAGTCGAATGTGGATTCCTCTTAATGTTTCTTTGTTGGTCCTGGCCTGAGCATAATATTACTGTGTAGAGATGGGTGTAGTTTGGGCCATGAATCCTGATGTAGCTGAGGCCATTATCAGTTTGATCTGTCACTCCCTGAGTGTTTCACTGGTTTATCTGTGTTCACGAAACTGATTGGGCTCATAAATTCCTCTGGAGGGACTTGTGTTCCGGTTCCTCTCATACTTGGATACTGTATTTGCTGAACAGATGTACTCGTAGGTTGCAGAATTGACAGACGCTACTGTATTTGCCGAACAGATTTACTTATAGGTCGCAGTATAGACAGACGTGTGTTCTGATTCCTCAGGTAATTTTATGAAATGCCATGAAGCTGGCACTAAAAGCCTGTTTTGTTATTGATTTAGTGAAGGAAGTACATAGAAAGGGTGATGAATTACCTGCTAGGCGCTCGTAATGAGGACGTAGATGTTTCATGGAGGGTCGTAATGTGCATACATGAAGATCATAGAATTTTATCAATCGTCACCATAGAAAGCGTGAGGATTTCCCGTCTGCGGATCGTATTACCTGTGTATGACTGAAAAACAAGATCTTTTGCCAAGTCAGTGATCGTTATGCAGTAATGCTTAAAAGTGTATAGAGTCTGTGGACTGCATTAGACTGACCTATCTGCTTGGTTAGGTGATAGAGTCATACGACTTTGCCATTGATAGAGGTGTCACAATTTCCATTGTTTCTATCCTGGATGTATATTACTGAGCCTTAGCCTGCTGTTGTGCTGCTGCACTTTGTGGGGTTTTTGTTTCTCTTGTATTCTGTCTACTACAGTTTTGTCTTTCCTGTTTTCTTTTTTGTCTGTCTTCTATCCCTATGTTTTTCTTTCACATCTTTGTGCATTCGGAGGTGCAGCGCACCGTGATCTAGTGCTGGGAACTTGAGTCTTGTGGTGATGAATCTGGATGGAGTTCTTGTCCCAGTCACTCCTGCTGTGATATGGTTTGCCGATGGGTAATCCTGAAGAGTTACACTTGCGGTGTCATATTGAATTTTCAGTCTTCAGGCTGCACATCCATAATGTTTTGTGGATATGTTGCCTCTGCACTTAAAGTGTATGTCCCGCTTGTGGAAGCAATGCGTTATCATTTTGTCCTTTGTGTGGTTGGTAATCACTTCAAACTTTCCTGTCCTTGTGGACCTTGTCCTGTTTGACGTGTTTCGTGTAATTTCATCTTCTGTGTCCTGTTGAAGCGGGCTGTGAAAAAAACAGTTGAGAAGTTTCGTCAGGCTCACAGTGGTGAATGTGGACATCGTGGAGTGTTGGTGAAACACTGCTCTTTTTGCTCCTGTTTGTAAACGTGCTCAGATTCTAGGCTTGTGAACTGTTTTAGAATTGTGTTGACACATTTTGTGTGAATGCTGTTCAGTATTTTTGAAAGAAAAAAATGGAAGGCCTGGGTATGTTGTCGCTGTAGTCCAGTGCAGCTGTTCTGATCCGTAGCCGTTGATGCCTCTTCCCCCCGCCCCCCCGCTCCCTGTCCCCGCCCCTCTGCTTTTCCCAGTCCCTCTGTTTTGATCCGTAGCTGTCTCCCCCATCAGACCAACCACACCCCATCCCACCTGCATTGCCCTACTGCTCTCCACACAACTATTCCCTCCACTCCACTTGACCCACCTGACCCCCAACTATGCTGCCCTTTTGGCCCCCTTAATTTCCCAAGCTGGGTTTCGATGTCAAGATGCTTGTTTGTTCAGTGTGGGATCTGGTTTTCAGTTGGCAAATGTTAATAACGGAGTCAATATCGTAAACATGTTTGTGTTTGGGAATGCCAAGTTGCTACTTTTATGGAGCTGTTTGTCACACATTTGTAACTGGGACTGCTGTTATCCGGATGTCTCATATTTGTAGATGTCGAGCTAGCATTCATGTACTTGTTTGCTGTTGTCATCCTGGTATATTCTGCATGAATGGGGCGGGGACGAGTGGTGGTAAGCAACGTAGAAATGGATAGCATGGAAGGGTAGTCTTAGTTTAAAAGGTAGTCGCAGGCCTCACCACCAGTACACCCGAGCCCAGTGGACTCGCAGTGCGCACCAATCTTTGCCGAACCGGCAGCGGCACTCTGTTGTCAAGTTTGATCAGCTGTGACAGGTTGGAAGATACAGGTGGGCCACGCCCTGCCTACTCATTCCCTCTAAGGAAGAGGGAGGGAGCATTATAGAGTGAATCCTGTTGGTAGTTGCCTTGCAGCTCTGTCCCGTTTCATGCGAGTCATACCATGGCTGCTTCTGTCTGCAATTCCTTTTCGCTTTTTTTTATTTTTTTTAAATAAAAGAGGTCCTTATGGTCCTGGCTCCATATCCATTCTGGAGAGTGTCTGTGCGGTTCCTATTCCTCGAGCAAGTCAACATTGAATACATCATAGTACACGCTCAGGCTTCATCTGGCCGAAGGAACCCTGACCAGCATGAGGACTGTCAGCATGCCCTACCGTAGTTTTCCTCTCAGAAACCCTGTTGGTTCTGTCGAATAGGCACTGAAACACTAGAAAACTGGGAAAGATGTCTGTCAGTCTGAGGCTGTAGCCTCGATTTCCCCTTCTCGGGACTGCATTCCTTGTCGTTGTTGGAGTGGACCACGTCTTCCAAATCAATTTGTTGTCTGTGACTGTCGTGATCTTTCCCTTCTAGCAGCCATTCTCTCATGAAAACTCGCCTCCTGAGTATGAATCTTTCAGGTTTGCCTCTCGTTACTGCCGTCACACTCCATTTGCGACGGATCTCTGTTTCCACCATCCTCGGCAGAAGGATCCACATTTCTTCTTTGGTCACTTCTGAACCCTTGATTGTCCTGGTGCATCTCCTTTTCCATATGACCCACAGGGATAGTTTCCTGAGCATGTGGAACCAGACCGCTTTCCCCCCTTTGAGACTCTGTAAGATAGGAGTAGGATATTCTGAGGGGTGAGGCTGGGGGGGGGGAGATAAGACGAGAAGCGACCATATGCTTCAGACTTTGTTCCATTTCCAGACGGCCTGACTGCAGTAGATGAGGCAGTGGGGTATGTCTTTTGGAACGCTGCCACTGCATTGTATGCAGAGTTCCGAGCTGTCATGGTGAGGGTGTTTTCTCCTTTTGTGGAGCCACTGGTTGACAGGGAGTGCCCCGTGGGCTAGGAGCCACAGCATGCTACGAATTCTGGCTGGTCTGATGGGGAGGTATTTTGTCCGGGGGATGGATATCGGTACTGATGGCTCTAGGTTCAGTGTCTTTTTCCGTCTGTCTTTTAGTTTGGGGTTCGGGTTTGTTGTCTGTAAGTCTAGGTTGTACGCGACTCTAGGGTCACGTCTTTTAGTTTGGGGTCCGGGTCTGTGGTCTGTAAGTCTAGGTTGTACCCGACTCTAGGTTCAGTGTCTGTTTTCATTTGTCTTTTAGTTTGGGGTCCAGGTCTGTGGTCTGTAAGCCTAGGTTGTACCTGAGTTTTACTTCGTATTTGAGTATCGTTCTTGTTTTCTCGGACTTGCCTTGTTTCCATACTGTTACATGCTGCGCCTGCACATGGGCCCCATTTCAGAGGCCCGACGGTTGCTGGCTGACCCCCAGGCCGCGTGCCCATCAGACATGCGCCCTGAAGGCCCGCGGCGACCCTTAGCATTTATTTATTTATTGGTGTCCCCTATTTGTCTGTTCAGACGTTGTTTTAGACTTGCAGTCCCCAAGGCGATGCATTGGGCTGGGTACACCAGTAGGCAGGGCTGATAGAGGCCAGGCGCGTTTTGGACGACCTGCTGCATCAGCGGCACGGTCTAGACGGCCAGTAGGGGCCCCGATCGTGCGGGCCGTTTCAGGCCAATGCTGCAGCACACCCAGGCAGGCCCAGCGCTCATATAGCTGGGCCTCGGCTGAGCAGGCAGGCAGTTTGAGTAGCTCACTTCTTGGGCGACACGCTGCTGGACCAGTGCTGCGCCACTTTAGCGCTGCGCTCAGAGGTAGAGGTAGAGGCGTAGGTAGACAGAGGGGCGGAGGCCATCCCTGCAGCGGCGGATGTACCTGGCACCATAGCTGGGACTCCATGTGTGCCAACCTGCAAATGATGATGACGACAGCGGCAGTCAGTACACGGCGGCAGTTACCTGCAGGTGAGACGGCGAGGATAACTTCTTCTTCTCTGTCTTGCCCTCCATGCCGTCTCCCTCCTTCCTCCTCCTCCTTTAGGGGTTACGTCGGGCATACAGTCCAGGATCTGATCCGACAATTTTGTGGCAGACATTGATTGGACATTCGGCAAGGGATTATTGGACTTCGCTATCGCGATCTTGGTCTTCTCCCTCGCCTCCATCTTCGTCTCGCCTCTCCTCCCATCTCTCTCCGTGGTATCTCCCCCATGCATGCGTGCAAAGAGGGACCTTTCTTCTGTGTATGAGGTCCCTCCTCCCTCTCTCACATGTGTGGTGTATGATGGGATGTCACGTCAGTCTCAAACATATCAGGTCATATCTTTGAGAATTCCACTGCGCTACATTGTGCTATTTTGTATGTATGGGGATGTACATCGCTTGTTGATGCTTTGCTGACATTGCATTGTCCATTCCAGTCCTTTTCATCACTTCGTGGATCTTTGGCTCCATATACAATGACCAACTGGGCATGTATCAGTTGGTATCTTAGCCCCGTACATGAATCAGGACGTCAACCGGATCTGATGCGTGCATGGGGACGATCCCGATTGATTGATTGACTGATTGATTGATTGGTTGGTTCTGATCGATTGATTGGTTGATTTATTGATTGATTTTATTTATTGATTTATTGATTGTGTTATTGGTTGATTAGGTCACCCTAATAAGTCCCCAAATTGCGATTTTTTACCTAACTGCAAATTCCAATTTTTTTGGTGTTTTTCGGAATTCCTTCCTTTGCGCAAATTCGTTTTGTTGAAGTACCGCAAATTCTGAAATTGCGCATCAATTGCAATTTTTGATTTCCGTTTGTTTGGGACTTTTAAAAATTCGTTGCTTGGTAGGTCTGAAACAATTTTTTTTTTTTGTGGTAATACTTCGTGTTATTCGTTTATTGAAAATTGTTTGGGGCTTCTAAAAATTCGTTGCTTGGTAGGTCTGAAGAAATCTTTTTTTTTTGGGAATACTTTGCGTTATTCGTTTATTAAGAAACTTCTGTACGCATTAGTTAGTAGCTGAAGTTTGATTTTTGTTATTTTGGAAATTCTGAATTTTCAGTTGCTTCATCATTTTGAAACTTTGGAATCTTTTTTGCGTTGATTCGGTCGTTTTCATTCTGATTTGCGACGAATTTTGCGTTGATTTGGTCATTTTCATTCTGAGTCGAGCATTCATTGGTAGTGGGAAATTTTGAATTTCGTTATATTTTTTTGTTATTTTGAATATTTCTTGTCATTTCAAGATTCCAAAATTTTATTTTTCTCGGAAAATCTTTCTCATTGCCCTTTCCCGCGTGGGAAAATAGGGAAAACTGGCTGTTTTCCCAATCTCCTGAATATTCGGAGGTCGGGCCCTATGATGACTGCCATTGATAAATCTGATCGGCGGCCGTCGTTTTGTTTCGGCCTCTGGAAAGGTCGGACGCCTACCCGAAGGCCCACTATTTTCCCATGCGGCAAAGGTACTAGTGGTTAAGTTTCAGGAATCCTGCCACAATTGAAATTTTGCTGCGCATACTCTCATCTGATAAGTGGCTCTTTATCTGGGCGATCACTCCCACCCACCGCATCCATGCGGCTGCATCCCTCTTCTACTCTTTGCCATCTGTCTCCTGGTCCCCCCTTTTGGGACATTGGTAAGTTGCCACATCAGCAAGCCATGTGAGCAGTGACATGTCAGCAATGCATCAGATGACAGCTGTGCCACATCGGCAGCTGAACAGTGCCACATGAGCACCAGAGAGTGCCACATCAGCAGTTCCCTGGCCTAGTCCATGCTCACCAGATCAGGCGAGATGGACCAGAAGCCAGGGGAAATAGTCGAGGCCTACACGACCCGGATGCTGAACTTAATTGTGGAAGCCTAGCAAAGGGCAGATGCAGTGACAGCTGCAGAGAAGAAAAAGGAGGAGGAGGCAGAGAAACAACATCAACTTGCAGAGGAACAACACCGACAACACGACAAAGATTGTGCGAGAAGGTATTCAAGGAGAGGAGAGCTTTACTCACATTGGCGGCGGAATGGCGGGGAGAGGCAGAAATCGGCGGAGTCAGCAATAGTGGACTCGAGATCTCGTGCTGTTGCTCTCCTGTTTTACGGACCTCCTGGCTACATGCATTGCAGAGCAGGAGGATATCCAATGCCTTGACGAGGTGGTCGACGACCACAAGATGTCGTTCGCACAGTTGACCAGCCGCGTACAGCTGCTGGAACAACGACCGATCACCGCTCCAAGCGCCGACTCCAACTATGCCGATCGCCTCGATGTTTTGGAGATCTACGTCGGGAGTCTCAAAATTGGTGTGCAACTACAGCAAGCGGGAAGTCAACAACTAGAGCAGCAGATTTGCGCTGCGGCTGCCAGTCCTACCGCGTCACCACACAACAGCATCCCGAAGTTAAATGGCCAGTCGATCTTCTGCAACACAACGAAGAGGGAACCTTGGTTTTGCCAATTTGAACTCGAGCTGGAGATCAACAAGACCCGCGATGCCAGCCGACACACGTACTTGGTACTCCCGATCAGCGGCGCGTGTCAAGCTTGGTTGGACTACATGTTGTCCACGCACTGGGTCACAGTCTTCGAATTGCACACAAAGATCAGCTGGGCTGATTTGAAGGCAGCATGGCACAAGCGGTTCCAAGCGGAGCCGCCCAAACTTCAGGCAATTGTAGAAGTTCCATCAGAACACGTTGCCAAGTGGACATTGGATAGTCCAGTACCAACGCTTGGCATGCATGTCGGATTTGCCGATGGTTTCCGATGGTTTTCAAAGGCATCAAACACTACGTAACGAGGTCATGTCCAACATTATCAAATGCTTTGATGGAAGTCGAGGAGACCCTCACCACAAGTTCAGAGCTCTTCGACTAGGCAAGACAGACCATAGTGACGAACATAGAAACCAAAAATCTTGGCCGCTCGCTTTTTGCGGGCCCGAGAAGAGATCAACATCGGCCGAAAGTGAAAGTGGTTGCGGCAGCAACGTCGGCCGAGGATTTCGCATGGCTTCCTCTCCCTACCACGGGCTGCTTGTCGATGGCACTATGCGCTCATCTCCACACATACTTATCCTTCTATGCACCACCAACTTTGTCGATGGATGAGGAAGCTGCGGTGGGGGACATCCTTGCGTATGTTACCAAGGTGGCCTGCGAGTTTCGCATGTAGCGGTACGATGACAACAATGCACCTCTCCTTTACGTTCGAATTCAAGTTGGAGTGTCCTGCAGCACCTTTGTGTGATTTGCAATTTTATGAGCCAGTCCTTTATTTAAAGGGTCGGCCTTGGGGCAGAAGTTCGAAGGAAGGCAAATCCTAGTGAGGTGCCGTGTACTATTCCTCTTTCGTACCCTTCAATATTCAAGTTGTGACGACCAAGTCGTTTTCGGCCACTTGTGCTTAAAAATGGACCTACGAGATCGACCTATGTTTTTTTCGAACCGTCGCGGTAGCGGACTTTTCACCCACAAACTTGTCTCGGACCCCCGTGTGGTGCGGTTGCTTGATAAGTTCGTCGACATCTTGGAGTCTCCTACCTGTGTGGTGCCGGATCGCTCGATCTCCCACGAGATCATTCTCGAGGCAGGTGCCGTGCAGCCAAAAGGTTGCATCTATTGCATGAGCGAGGAGGAGCTCACCTGATCTCCCACAAGATCTATTGCATGAGTGAGGAGGAACTCGTGGTTCTCCGTGCGCAACTCGATGAAGGGCTGGATTCGCCCTTGTAGCTCACCGTATGGTGCACCAGTTCTTTTCATACGGAAGAAGAACAAGGATCTATGATTTGTGCATTAACTACCGCAAGCTCAACGTGCAAACCTTCAAGAATGCCGGACATATTCCTCGTATCGACGGTCTTCTTGAGCGTTTGGGCGGTGCAAAGTTCTTCTCAAAGGTGGATTTGAAGTCTTGCTATCATCAAATGTGGGTATGCCCGCACAATCGCTGTAAATCCGCATTCAAGATGTTGCACGGGCATTTTGAGTGGGTGGTCATGCCTTTTGGACTCACCAATGCCTCGACAACCTTTCAAGTGGCGATGACCAACGAGTTCCACGCGATGTTGGACCGGTTTGTGCTGGTCTACTTAAACGACATTCTCGTCTATAGTTGGACCTTGGAGGACCATCTAGAGCATCGTCGACGCTTGTTGGAGACGCTCCACCGCGCCGAGTACAAAGCCAACCGTGACAAGTGGGAATTTGTTGGCAGGAGTTGGAGTACTTGGGCCACTTTGTCACACCGGAGGGCATCAGTCTGTTATCGGACAAGATTCAAGCCGTCCAAGAGTGGGCGGAGCCGTGGAACGTTACGGATGTCCGTTCGTTTTTTGGCCTTGTCGGCTACTATCAACACTTTATAAAAGGCTATTCGAAGATTGTGGTCAACTTGACCAAGCTTCAATGCGAGGATTGGCTTTGACTTCGGTGATGATGTGCGGGGTTCATTTTGGCCCCGAAAGCCGTTTTGCTATTTGCGGAGGTCTTGTGCATTTAAGACCTGCTTTTGTCGACGTGCGTCACTAACGATGCGGTCGGCTATGGCGTTGGTGCCGTCCTAGAGTAACACAATGGTGTGGATTGGCACCCGATTTAGTATTTTAGGAATCAAGTGCCCGTGGTGCACTTGATCGACGACGCTCGAAGGAGTTACTAGCCTTCGTACATGTGCTTATGCGGTGGCGACATTTTCTTCTTGGTCGAAGTCAATTTCGATGGGTAACAGATAAAAATCCGTTGGTTTTCTACAAGACCCAAGATACGGTCAATAGCGCCATCCCCCGTTGGATGGCTTTCATCGACTTGTTTTGACTTTTTCCCTGACCACATTCACATTTTGGGAAATTGCGGATGCTCTTTCACGACGTTCGAACCATTGTACCGCAGTTCTTGACTTTCGAGATTGATGATGACTTGTGGGACAACGTCATCCGCAGCTACCAAGTCGACCCCAGAGGTTTGCGACAAGTACACAAATTGTTCCTCTTTGAATCCGACAACATCGCATTATCGGATCCAACAGGGATATTTGCTCGTCCACTCGCGGGGGAAGGGTCTTCTTTGTGTGCCAAGCGATTCTCACTTGCGGACGCGACTTCTTGGCGAGTTTCACGACGCTCCTGCCAGCGGATATTTTGGAGCCAATCGAATGTTTGGCCGACTTCGTGAGCGCTTTTGGTGGTCTGGCCTTCTCGGCTATGTCAACGCTATTGCGAGTCGTGCGAGGTTTGCCGACGATGCAAACCACGCAATCATCGTCCGTACAGTGAGTTGTGACCATTACCTGTCCCCTTGCACCAAAGGGAAGCGATTGCCATGGATATCATCGGGCCGTTCCCCAAGTACAAGACCGGTGTGGATGGGATTCTCTCGGTGGTCGACCGAATCACCAAGTTTGCCATGTTTTTGCCTTGCCACTATCACGCCAAGGCACCGGAGTTGGGCGAGGTTCTTTACGCCGGTTGGTTTTGCACCAAAGGTTACCCCAAGGAGGTCGTTTGCGACGACGACAGAAGGGTTACCCCAAGGAGGTCGTTTGCGACCGCGACAGAAGAGTTACCCCAAGGAGGTCGTTTGTGATCGCGACAAAAGGTTTACCCCAAGGAGGTCGTTTGCGACCGCGACAGAAGGGTTACCCCAAGGAGGTCGTTTCGTTTGCGACTGCGAAAGAAGGGTTACCCCAAGGAGGTCGTTTGCGATCRCGACAGAAGGGTTACCCCAAGGAGGTCGTTTCGTTTGCGACTGCGAAAGAAGGGTTACCCCAAGGAGGTCGTTTGCGACCACGACAGAAGGGTTACCCCAAGGAGGTTGTTTGCGACCGCGACACTCGGTTCATGTCCGATTTTTGGTTGGCGCTCATCAGACAATGGGGCTCATCTTTAAACTTGAGTACGGCTTGCCACCCCCAAACCGATGGCCAAACAGAGAGGGCGCATCGAACCGCACAAGTTCTCCTTCGCACTCTCATCCGTCCTGAACAAAAGGATTGGGTCGAGTTTCTGCCGGATGTCGAGTTGGCATACAACTCGTCCATTCAGCCGGCTATCGGGATGGCGCCCTTCGAGTTCGAGCATGGCTCGGTCACTTCTTAATTGAACACGATTATTCCACGGACTACGTTGGATGCAAGAGCTCCTTGTCAAGGCACACGACCAGATGTCGAAGATGCAACAATGCATGAGCCAACAGGCCAATTGTTAGCGTCTTCCCTGTCCATTCCGCAACGGCAACCTCGTATGCGTCTCCATTGTGAAGTTTAGCCTCAAACAAGATCTCTCTCGCAAGCTCCTTTCGAAAAGGATGGGGCCCTGCCCATCGTGGCACCTGCTGGGGATGCACCCGAAGGATCTTCATTTGTCATTCAGGTGCCCGCCCCCTGGCCCGTCCACTCGGTATTGTTCCAAATTACCTCTGTTCATTTCAGCGGAACACGACGACTTTCCCGGCCGACGATCGCAAGACCCACCCACCCTCTATGGACGTTTTTCAAGAGGTTGGCAACATCATCTCCCAGCAACGCTACGGCAACAGGTGATAGAGTACTTAGTACACTTTTCCTACTGCCGCCGTAAAGCTGACTGTTGGTTGACCTGTGCGGAACTTCAGGCAACAGCCCCCGACGTTCTCACACGCTACGCAAGTTGCAAGGCAAGGCGGTACCTTCGGCTCCATGCCGCACTCGCGTCCAGGTTCCGCAATCAGATTGTTAGGTTCGCATTCGTGATTGACTTCATAAGGAGGGGGTGGGGTCTTACATGCTGCGCCTGCACATGGGGCCCATTTCAGGCGCCGGACGGTTGCTGAGGGGGCCCCAGGCCGTGTGCCCATCATACACGCGCCCTGGAGGCCCATGGCGGCCCTTAGGCTTCAGTTACGGTTTTGCGACAGCATTTGTTTATCTACTTATTTATTGCTGTCCTATTTTTGTCTGTTCAGATGTCGTTTTGGACTTGCAGTCCCCAAGGCGATGCTGTGGGCTGGGTACACCAGCAGGCAGGGGTGATAGAGGCCAGGCGCGTATTGGACGCCCTGGTGCATCAGCAGCACGGTCTGGACGCCCGGTAGGGTCCTGACTGTGTGGGCCGTTTCAGGCCAACACTGCAGCACCCCAGCGGGGTCCGACGCTACATATAGCTGGGCCTCGGCTGAGCAGGCAGACAGTTCGAGTACCTCGCTTCTTGGGCGACACGCTGCTGGACAAGCGCTGCGCCACTTTAGCGCTGTGCTCACAGGTAGAGGTAGAGGCGCAGGTAGGCAGAGGGGTGGAGGCCATACCTGCAGCGGCGGACGTACCTGGTGCCATAGCTGGGGCTCCGCGCGTGCTGATCTGCACATGACGACGGCGGCAGCGGAAGTCAGTACACGGCAGCAGTTACCTGCAGGTGAGACAGTGAGGAGAATGGCATCTTCTTCTTCGTCGTCTCGCCCCTCGTCTTGTCTCCCTCATCCCTCCTTCAGAGAGAGAGAGAGAGATTACAGGCAGGGGTTACAGTGGGCGTATAGCCCAGGATCTGATACATTTTTGTGGCAGACGTTGATTGGACATTCGGCAAGGGACTATTTTTGGACTTCGCTATCGCGATCTTGGTCTTCTCCCTCGCCTCCATCTTCCTCTCGCCTCTCCTCCCATCTTTCATCTGTGGCATCTCCCCCATGTGCGTGTGCAATGAGGGACCTTTCTTTTGTGTATGCGGTCCCTCCTCCCTCTCTCACATCT